CAAAAACTAACAGTAGAAATGATTACGTATGTCTCAATAATCATATTAAATATAAATAGCCTGAATTCACATGTCAAAAGGAATAGCGTAATTAAGTGGATTCCAAAACAAAGTCCAAACTTCTGTTGTTATCCATCTTACCAACAAAGATAGGCAGAGATTTAGGCTGGAAGACAGTTACACAAGCAAATAGTAACACCATACTTATTATCTGATAAAAATCAATTTCCAAAGATAAAAAGAGATAAATGTATTAAGAGATGGAGATGAATATCACGTTATTACTATTCATTGTCATGACAGGAATTTTGCTCCACTTTGCTGTGGGAACACGATGAGGGACACAGCAGTCGTGGAGCAGGTGTGTAAGGCAAGCCTCTGCTACTTGAGCAGAAGTCCTTGAGCCATTTGTCGAAAGTACACAAGCTAGCAGAAGCTAATCATGCAACAATGGTATGAGGAATAAAGTCCAGAGGAATGAAGGCCAAAATTTTACAAGGGTCTGGGGAGGGATATCGTGACCATACGTTGAGACATTTGCAAAGTATTTAATGTTATCACAGGCAGAGTTATCCTGAGACCACCATGGGGATAGCCACGTAATCAGATAAGCAGCAGCCTAGGTGTCCCTGGGTCTGCTGGTGATGCGAGCTGTACTCCATAGGCAGTCAGTGAATTCTCTGCTGTGATTTGTAGATAGCAAATAGGTCACAGGTGCCCATGAGTGGCCAGCTAGTAGCCCAGCTCATAGGAACCCACAATTAATAATAATAAATAAGCAAAACATATATTTATTATAAATTATAAAATAAACATATTTTATATGTTTATTATTAAAAAAATAAACAAGAAAAAATAAACACTCACAAATATATATGCACCATATGATGGAGCACTGAGATACATAAGACAATTGAAAATAGAACTAAAGGGAGAGATTGACACTAACAGAGTCATACCAGAGGACTTCAATACCCCAGTTATTCCAAGTGGAAAAATAAATGACATCAAGAATAAATAAGGAAACAATAGTCTTAAATGAGAAGCTATAATAAATAGGTCTACCAGACATCTACAGAACACTCCATCCAAAAAACTATGTATACCTTTTTTTTTTTTTTCAAGTGCATACAGAATATTTTTAAGAAAAGACTGTATGTTGGAATATGTCAATTGTCAGTAAAACTACAAAGGTCAAAATTATACCTAGTATTCCTCTGACCAAAATGTCATAAATTAGAAATCAACTATGGGGGAGGGAGGAATTATGTATTCATGTAAACAAAACGCTGCTTTTTCGCTGTTGGATAAAAGAAGAAATCAAAACAGAAAACTTTAAAAACCTTACGATGAACAAACATGATGATGCAAGCGACCTCTGTATGGGCTACAGTAAAAGCAGCCTGAAGAGTGATGATGCAATGCAGCCTCTACAGCATCAGCTCAATCCCCAGGCAGGGGCCCACCCACACGATGCAGGAGCCCTCCCCGTCTGTCTGCAGCTCCCCTCGGCAGTATACCTTGTCAATCTGCCTATTCTGCTCTCCCCTATGTCTCTGGTGAATCCTCTCACCCCCCACACCTCTGGCCTGTACCCCAGCTCTATATGCATAAATAAATCAATCTTTAAAAAAAAAGGGGGGGTGAGATAAGTACAATACAGACCCACTTTAGGAAGCAAGAAGAATCCCAAATAAACAGCCTAATATTACACCTAGAGCAACTTAAATAAGAGGAATAAATGAAACCCAAAGTTAGTAGAAAGAAGGAAATATTAAGAGTAAAGGCAGAGGTAAGTGAAATAGAGATCAAAAAGACTATACAAGAAATCAGTGAAACTAAGATTTGTTTCTTTGAGAAGATAAAGTAGGTAAATCTTTTGCTAGGTTTTTAAAAAATAGAAGACAAACACAATCACAAATGAAAGAGACAAAATCATCACAGATGACACAGAAATATAAAGAACCATAAGAGATGACAATAAACATCTACATGCCAATAAATTTGATAACCTTTCTATATCAATAGGGTCTACTGAGACTAGGAGACAGATGAGCTGAACAAACCATTCATAAGCATGAACAGAACTTGAAAATCTTCCAAACAACAAAAGCTAGACAGCTTTACAAACGAATTTTATCAAACCTTTAAAGAACGAATGCCCGTCTTGCTCCAATTGTTTTTAAAAATACAAGGTGAGGCCCTCCCTGGTGGCGCAACAGGTTAGGATGCAGCATTGCAAGCTGGCCACAGCCGCTTCAGTGCGAGTTCCATCCCCGCCCCAGAGGTGACCCACGTGGTACGGCAGACCTCTCCTGACCCGCCCACTGCTCCCCTCAGCAGTGGACTTCATCAGTCTGCCTGTTCTGCTCCCTACTCTGTCTCTGATGAATCCTCTCCCCACTCCTGCATCTCTGGCTTGTACCCCAGTTCTGTATGCATAAATCAATAACTTTTTTTTAAAAACACAAGGTGAGGGAATGCTCCCTGATACGTAGGAGCCAGTGGACAGCACCTACTAGGCCTACTGGACAGGGGTCCAAGCAAGGCAGAGTCTCCCCCTGACCCCACTCTGAAACTGGCCCTACTTTGCATCCCCAGGAGTGTGAGCAAGGCTGGAAGGCTTAGGGAAGAGTAGGGCAGGTTGGCCCAGGGATTCCTGGAGATAACTGTTTCTCAGGCCCAAATGTGTCCCAGGCCCTCATGGCCAAAGTTGTGTTGATGGCAGCAGGTGGCACTGCCAGATGCTGGGCTGAGCTGGAGTGGCAATGAGTCTGGAGAGTCACTGACCAAGTACTGCAGCCCCGAGTCCACACAGCCCACTGCCTCGCAGAAATGTCCCTCCCGTGGCCTGCGTGACCGTGAGCTACAAGAGACATGTCTTCCGGGACCCTGACATGTACGTTTGACTCCTGTTCTCCTACCACCCACAGTAGGTGATCTTAATTGAGAGCTTGCAGTAGTACTTTCCACACACTATTTTATTGAAGACAAACCCCAATCCCAGGAGGTGGGTTCTTTATCCCCTTTATACAGAGACAGAAGGTTAAGCCCAGAGGTGGACTAGGGTGAAGCTGGAATGGAAGCCCTTCCTCCGTCGACCCCCAGTTTGACTCCACCACCCAGGGCCAGGGTCCCTGGGACAATGAGCCCACCCCCTACCTCCCGGTATGTTTGACTGGGGTTCCAGGAGGAAGTGAAGTTTTATATCTTACGGGTAACTAACTGCAAGAAAGCAAGCACAGAAGAGACAAAAACCTTACTCCTTGGAAGGCTCATCCCACATCAACTGGATGTTTTCCTCTTCGAAGGAACTAGACGGAGGTCAGACAACAGGAAGGACTTCCCAGTCACTACAGGGATAGTGCCGTCACCTCTCTTGCTCAATTTATGGCTGAGGTGTCACCCCCGCAGTAGGCAACAGTTTGAGTTAGTGGGGTGGAGGGTGACACAATCCCCAACAAAGATTTCCATTTACAGAAACTTTGGGGGTGAAGGGAAGCCCTGAGGCGCAGTCCTGGGGTGACCAAGGGAACAAACACGGAAAACCAGGGGACGTCAGTCCTTATCTGGAGCTCATTAATAGGGAACATAAGTCAGCTGTGAAGGCCAAGATGGGGTGATAGGCAAGGGGCGGGAGGGGTGCAGGCAGGAGGCAGAGGTATTGGCTAAAGTCCTTCTACCCCACGTGTCCAGTCGAGGATGAAAGGCCCCTATAAATGTCCATGGCCAAGAGAGGGACAGCGCGAGAGAAAGAACGAGAGAGACTCCAGCTTCCTGCCACTCAGACAGCCGGCCAGCCGGCCACTCCGCAGGGGGCACCACAGCATGTGGGAACTCCGGTCAATAGCCTTCTCACGGGCTGTGTTTGCAGAGTTCCTGGCCACACTCGTCTTTGTCTTCTTTGGCCTTGGCTCAGCCCTCAACTGGCACCAAGACCTGCCCTCTGTGCTGCAGATCGCTATGGCCTTTGGCCTGGCGATCGGTACCTTGGTGCAGGCCCTGGGTCACATCAGCGGGGCCCACATCAACCCTGCGGTGACCGTGGCCTGCCTGGTGGGCTGCCACGTCTCCTTTCTCCGAGCCGTCTTCTACGTGGCCGCCCAGCTGCTGGGGGCGGTGGCAGGAGCTGCGTTGCTCCATGAAGTCACGCCCTCCGACGTCCGAGGGGACCTGGCCATCAACGCGGTGAGTAGCCCGGACTCCGTCCTTGCCGCAGGCGGCAGACCCAGGAGAAGGGGAGTAGTGATAAGGGGTGAGGGGGGGGGCTGTGGAGAGAGGGGGAGGCAGGGCAGGAGAGGGGGCGGGAGGCTGGAGCAGGAACACAGCTGGCAAGGGAGAGTCAGGCGGGGAGCAGCCGTGTCAGAGTGCAGGCAGAGCTTCTAGGAGCTTCTGCCCTGAGCTTCACAGAGGAAAAACAGCATCGAGGTTTCTGGTACCTTGGCGCCTGCCTGGGCTGGAGCTCCGCGGAGGACAGGGTCCCGGAGCAGACGTGCGAGGAACCTTCGGGAATCCAAGGGTCATCTCATCGGCATCCACAGCGGTTTCGGGGGTGCTCCCCCCAACAGTCCTGCGATGTAGGACGGCATGTCCATTTCTTAAAGATGTGGAAACTGGGGCCCAGAGGGTGGTCCACATCAGACAAGAGTCTTTCAACCCAGGTGACTGTAAAACCTGTCACCTTTCTACCTAACACCTGCCTGAGCTTTGTTTTGCAAACAAGGAAACTGAGTCTCAGAGCGGGAAATAAAGGGCACAAGTTCAAACTGTACAGAGAACACACCAGAATGGAAGGCCCAGGGCAGGGTCTCGCCAGAGCCTGGAGAGGCCCCTGAGGCGGGTGAGCTAGCTGCTGGTGGCTGGTGACGGTGATGGTGACAAGGTACGATGGCCAACTGGGAGCTGGGGTGATGTCACAACCCCTCCCCTCTACGCTGCTCATGGCTCTGCAAGGTCTGAGATTTGAGGGTGTAAGTGGAGAGGGATGATCCATGTCCCCTCCCACAACTCTCACTCCACTGCAGGTCAGGACAGCAGGTACCTCCCGCTCCTCAGTCTCTCAGCCCACCCCGGGCCTGCTCCGTCCCTGCTCCGCCAAGTAAGAGCTCAGCTGTCTCTGAAGAGTCTTCTGGTCTCCATGACATGTCCGTCCTCTGCACAGGGGCCTTCCTCATGGCAGGGGCAGAGATGCCTGATAGGGGAGCTTGTCTCTTCTTCAAAATGGAAACTGTGATGAGGCCAGGGGCGCAGGGCCAAGAAAAGCGAGACGCATCTTGGTGGGACACAGACTGAGGAGTGTGGCTGTTTCCAGTGAGAATGACGTGTGCAGCAAGGAGACGTTCAGTTAGACTGGAAGAGGAACTTCCTGACATGCCAAGAAGGTCTCAGAATGTGCGGCTGGGAAATCCACTTCTGGTAGCAGGGCAGAGGGAGTCCTGAGGGGCTGTGGGGACGCTCTGTCCCTCTCTCCCACCACATCACAGTTGACTGGGTCGGAGCTGGGGGAGTTTCTCCCGTCACTGGTCAGCACTTACCACCATTTCGGGACGGGGAGACCCACTCCTGGCAGGAATGGGGCGGCAGGAAGGTGTCCTCCAAGGTCCCTGGGAAGCCTGGCCACAGGTACTTACCACTGATGAACACCTGCCTGTGCCAGGCCAGAGAACACCTGGGTCAGCGCCGTAAGATGAATTCTGGGATCCCTCTACCCAGAGTGGTAAACTGAGGCTCAGAATTCCATCCCCTCACAGAACCAGGACAAGGCAGCCCCTGGAAATGAACCCAGAGCTGCTGAGTGTGTCACAAAGCCCACGGCTGTACCGCAGCCATTTACCAGCAGGAACGTGACTGGGGTTCTGCTCTCGTCGCTCCCAGGCCCCGCTCAGTCCTCTGGACTCTTGATACAGAAGGACAAACTGAGTCCAAAGAGAACAGGCTCGATCCCGTGGCAGGTCAGAAGCCTCTAAGGTGTCTGCCTTCAAAGCTCTTTTCACTGCTTTCTCCTGGAGACTCTGACATTGGACAACAGGCTGGACTGAAATCAGCCCCCACCCCTCCGAGAGAAACAAGGGACCAACCCCATGACGTGCTCAGGGGTGGGGGTCCGGGGCCTGGAGGAGGCTGGGAGCTGAGAGCTATCACAGCTTCATCAAGTGCAGTGCCCAGCCCCAGAGGGCAGGGTGTAGGGCACAGAGAGAAATCCAGTGCTGGGTGCGGCCCAGTTGTGAAATCACCTCTTTGCTGGGGCCTAAATCCACTTGTTACCCAAGGTAGGGTCTGCTGGGAACGCGGGCACCCCACATGGGCATGGAAGCATTTTATAGAGCTCCAGCACCCCCTCCCCAACCTCCACAGGATATGCAGGGAGCAATTCCACAGGGCCAAGTTGAGGTCTGGCTCACAGTGGGAGCAGGTAAGGTCAAAGGGAACAGGCAAAGGTTAGAGGAAAGGGCCACGCTCCCAACTCGTGGGGGCTGGGGCACCCTAGGGCCACCCCCAGTCCGTGACCCTGGATACTGTCCCTGGGAGACCTCTGACCACAGGAAGAGAGGCCGGAGGAATCTCATAACGCCAGTGCCTCATGGCCCGGGTAGAGAGGAAGGTCTTCCTGTTACCTGGTCTAAAGCTGCTTGCTGAGATCATAACTCCCTCCCCGTATTTTCTCAGGAAATAAATTCTGAAGCTCAGCAGCCCCCCACCAATGGCTACGGAGTCAGTTTTCCTAGCTCAATCTGAGGGCCACCGGCAGTCCGAGGGCCCATCCCAGCCCAGAAAAAAAGCGCTCAGTAGTTTGGGCTAAGTCTCGGGGAGCCCAGGGCTCCCAGCCTGGTGACAGAGGGGTAGGGAGCATCTCATGGTCCCCTACTCACCCCCTTTCTGTCCCCAGCTCAGCAACAACACGACAGCTGGCCAGGCCGTAACGGTGGAGCTTTTCCTGACCCTGCAGCTGGTGCTCTGCATCTTTGCCTCCACGGATGAGCGGCGTGGAGACAGCCTGGGCACCCCAGCCCTCTCCATTGGTTTCTCCGTGACTCTGGGCCACCTCCTCGGGGTAGGTCATGGTCACTGGCGGCAGCCTCTCTCGATCGACAGACATACACAGACCACCCTAGAAAGAGACACACCCCCGAAGTGACAGATGCAAAGACTCCCAACACAGAACTCCCAAGAGGGACAGACAGCTGGACACACCCCGCAGGGGCAGTCGCAGACGAGCACAGCAATCTATAAATATAATGTGAACTTAATTGTCCAGCACGGGGAGTCCCTTTAGGGTGAGCCTAACACTGGAGAGGGGCACAGGGTGCCCTGGCCTGCCCTCACCCCTCCCTTCCTGATTCCGCCTCCTGTCGTAGATCCACTACACCGGCTGCTCCATGAACCCGGCCCGCTCCCTGGCTCCCGCCGTCGTCACGGGCAAGTTTGATGACCACTGGGTAATGGCTGAATCCTCCCTGCCTTTTTCTCTCCCAGAAACCCATCTCAGCAAGGGCTGGAACAGAGTGGGGAGGGGCTCAGCAGCTACATCGCAAGCTGTCCCCCGTTCTCCTCACGAGGGGAGCCTTAGGGTCCACCCTCAGGTCTGATGCTATGCTAAGGATTCAGTTTCCACATCTGGATGTGAGATTAACAATTCTTGCCTTATGGGCTTTTGGGAAGGGTTGTGAGGTTCTGGTGTGTCAACAGCTCATCCCTGTATTATGTAGAACCTAGCTGAGCTTAGTCCGCGCAGGCTTTATTCTCAGTGTTTGCAAACACCAACTCCCGTGGTTTCCATGACCACCCTAAAGGGCAAGGAAACTGAGGCTCAGCGAGGGGAGTGACTTGTCTCATCCGCCTTAGCCGCCACCCTAGCACGCGTGCC